AACTTTGGAGGGGTAATTTGAAATGTACTAAACTTTAAAGGTGTTTTTTTTATAATTTTCAAATTTAATAAATTTTCAATTAGTTATGTTCTTTTCAAAAAAGTTATGGGTTATATTTACCATGAAATTTTTTTCCTAAACCTATACTTTTAAAAGGTGTATGATATTTTTTACAAATTTTTAATTTTTTAGGGGTTGTTAGTAATTTTGCATATTCATTTTAGTGTCTATAGGTTATAAATTTTTATGGTGTTTTTTTGTAAATTATGAATTAGTAGGGTTTTTTGCAATTTTTTAAATTTATAGTCCTTTTCTACAGATTGTAAATTGTTTATAGACTATTTACAATTCCTATGCTTTCAATTTACTAATAAATTTGAAACTCTTAGGGTGTTTTTTGTAAATTTTGAATTTTAAAGGTTTATTATAATTTTTAAAACTTTAAAGGTATTTTCTATAAATTATATAGGGGATATTTGTAATTCCTATATTTTTAATGTACTGTTAGGTTAGAAATTATCAGAATTTTTAAATTTTATAATTTTGAGGGTTTTATTTTGTAATTTGTAAAAAGTTGAGTGTGTATTACAAATTTCATAAATTTTCGGGGGCTGTTTGTGTTATTTGTAGGGTTTTAGTGTGTTTATAGGTTTAAAAATTTTAAGGTTTTTTTTATAAATTTTGAATTTTAGGGGTTTTTTGTAATTTTTAAAACTCACAAGATATTTTCTCCAAGGTCAATAAACTTTTAGTTTCTAGCTAGCATATGTTTTTTAGATTTCTTACTAAATTGAAATAAGAAAAATTTATAATTTTTAAGTTTCTTTAATAGAATTTTGAATTTGTAGGGGCGTTTTCACAAATTTAAAAATTTGGAGAATATTTTTTACAAAGTCCAAAAATATTTAGGAGCTGGCTGGCATATATTTTTTAGATTTCTCTATGAACTGAAATAAGTAAATAATTTGAATTATATAAAACGTATCTCTTTTATCCAATAACATGTTAATTCTCATTATGAATTAAATAAATCATTTAGTTCCAATTCAAAGAAGATATGATAATTAGAATAGATTAGGATAACAATGTAATATTTAAAAAAAGCTAAGGGTAATATTGACCATAGAAAGATTTTTTCAAACTCGTACTTTTAAAAGGAGTATGAAATTTGACAAAAGTGGGATAAATGTTTACCATTATCCTAGTTCTACTTTTTATCCCGTTCTAGTTGACTAACAATGTATAATTTTAGGGATTTTTACTTTTAGGTCCATTTGTTTACTCTCATTTATTTTTAAACCCACCCAATATTGTTTGTTTCTCTAAGCCCAACTCTCTTTCTGTATTTATCTTTAAACCCAAATTCTAAAATACAATACATTTAGTAATTGTATTTATACAGAAGCAAGGTAAAAGCCCTAAAATACCCCTTTCCCATATAAACGTCTCTCTCCTCAAAATTCCCTTTCACCCGATTCCTAAATTAAAAAAAAAATCCCCGTCGCCCGCTCCTGCCGCCGTGACCCAGCTGTCGCCGTCGACTCCGTCGCCCGCTCCTGCAGTAGACTCCGTTGCCGTGACCCAGCTCTCGCAGTCGCCGTTGTTGCCCGTCCCAGTCATCATTGCCGTCAAAGTCGCTGTTTCAGGTATTGATTTCTCACGAGCATTGGCTGGGTTGCCGTCGAACTTTTTTATTTTTGATATTTGGATATTGACTGCGTAGATAATTATTGGCTCTTAAACTCAACAATTTTAGCTTAGTTGTTGCGTTTATATTGTTTTGAATTCATGACTTTATAATTGAGGATTGGTATTGGTTTTCTTACGTTTTTAAGTTCATAAATTTTTGCGTATATTCAGTCCCAATTCTGGGACATCTAAAGTTTGATACAAATGTCTGTTATTGTACATATGTTAACATTTGCTACATTTCACTGAACGAGAAGAGGAAAAATATCATAGGCTGTAAATAGGTTGATATAAAGCTAAAGCGTGGTAATTTGAGTATTGAGATTGTCTGTTACAATTTTGTTTGTAAATATGATACAATTTTGTCTGTAAACATCTGATTCTGTAAACATTTGATACAATTTTGTCTGTAAATATGATAGACAACTAAAGTCGCCTTATGTTTTATGGTTGCAGAAAATTCTATCTCATGGCTTTAGTGCGAATTCCATCGAACATTGGGTACTTCCGGGACCTTCAAAATCAGATTTCTAGATTTCTACTTATTTATCGGAAGATCAACGAATTGCCCTTCGTGACACTCCATTTTATGGCTACTTAGATGTTCCAGATCTTCCAGTGCAACCAGTTATAGTGGATTGTTTGTTGGGAGTATTTAATGTCGAAAAAAGTAGTTTCAAAATTGGAGGAAAATGGACCTCCTTTGATGTTGAAGAAGTTGGGAGAATCACGGGTCTTCCGATGGGAGGATCTATAGTAGACACGCGGTTTCATAGAAGTGATCGCGATACAATCTACAAGCTTGTGCTTTCATATAGTACCGCGGCTGAAATTGAAGAAGATAGTAAGCGTGTGACTAGAAAAGGAAAGAAGAAAATTGACGAGGGTAAGAAGAAGGTTGTGTGTGCTAGAAGAGATAGGATGGGTGAACTTATCAAGCAGATGGCCGAGCGTAGAGATCCTCTTTTGCCACATATGCTCGTGGCTTTCATTATTGGCTTTATATTATGCCCCCAAGCTAGTATGAGTTGTCCCTTGTTTGCATTTAGATATGCTGAGAAATTGGGCACTCTTAAGGAGTATAATTGGGCTGAATTAGTATACAATGTGTTGTGTACCGAGATGATTAAGGCTAAGAAAACCATCACTAAGAGATTTGAGGGAAATCGATCTAGAGGTGGTTATATGGGGGGTTTTGCCTCGGTTTTGATGGTAAGTTAACATTTACTACATTTTAATGTCATTCTACATTGTATATATTAATTCATTTAGTCATGTTTATTGTTGAGCTAAAATTTTCCTTTTCTCACAGGTTTGGTTTTATGAGCTTGTGGGACAATTACGCCTTCGTGTAGGAGCAGAATCCCTACCACCCATCCTAAGCTTCCACAAGGGCACGGGATCTTTACGGAGGAGTACAGTTCAAGATTTAATTAGAGATCCGGCTAATTTTAGGAAGCATGGTGTTGAGTCAAGGGCTAACAAATTTGAAAAGAGACAAGCTGCCACTACATCCACTGCCCCTTCAAGATTGAAGAGAGAGAGAGAGAGGTATATATATTTCCATTTTTATTTTTATTCCATGTTAGTTAATTGCTCTCCATGATTTTTATTTGATGTTCATCCATGAATTGAACTTTACTTGGGTTATTTATGTGTAGGTAATCACCAAAGCTGAGTTGGATCAGCTCATACTTGAAAAACGGGTGGAATTAGACCTTCTGTTGAAGATAAGGAGGGACAAATTTGGTGATGAGGAAGAGGATGTGGATAGTGATGGAGGAAATGAGGATGATGAGGATGATGAGGAAGATGGGGATGATAGTGATGATGGTGATGAGGAGCGAAAAAATGAGGGGAAAGAGGAGGGTGCGGAGGGGGCTAATGAGGGGCATGAGGAGGATAAGGAGGGAGTTGATGGCGGGAATGAGGAAGATGAGGAGGGGAATGGTGGAGATATGGAGGAGGATGTCGGCGGGGATGATGAGGTTGGTAAAGACGTTGATAGATTGAATGTAGAGAAAGATGATGGTGAGGATGGTGGGAAGGATCAAGTGGGCATGGATTCAATGGAAGTGGATGACGACGCCTTTATTCTTAGCCCGCGCGATGTTACGTTGATTGAAGGCATGCGTAAAACCCCTTCCATCAAAAGAACAGTTCTCTCTAGATCTCGGCATGCTGGGCCATCAATGCGGTCTCCTTTTGTTCCACTTGTTAGTAGAAAAGGACGACCAAATTATCCGGGAAGGAAGGAAGTAATGGATGAGGAGAGAGAACTACTAGATAACTTTTGGAAGGAGAATATGGCCGCGTAAGTATTTTGAATGATTTACTTATTTACTTTTCAACCTGTACTAAGTTTTTTCATTAATACATGTTATGTATTTGTTTCATATGTAGTGAGACATTAGTGTGGTCATCTAGAGATGCGTTGATGACACGTAAAGATGCATTGGAGTTACTTAAAGGAGAGGCAATTAGCTGTGACGTAAGTATCCGTTCTTTTCATGCTTCACACAAATATACATAAACACGCACACATGCACACACATATAGAGTATTTTCTGTACCAGAAATCACATAGAAGCGTATGACTGATATTTGATACAATAACACATCTTATGCCTCCACATGCTTTTGATATTTGATACAATAACACACATATAGAGCACTGTACATGCTTTTGATATTGATACAATAACACATCTTATGCCTCCACAATTCAGTCATATATGCAATGGTTACTAATCTGAGGGCCGCATAACTGATAAACGATCTTCTGCTGCAAGCTGAAATTATGTAAATATTAGTGTTCACGTTAGTATATAACATGAATATTTACAAATTTATTATCTACATTTCAGGTTATAGCCTCCTATGTTGTCTTGTTAAATAGGTTAATGGAGACGCGTGCAAACTATGCGAAAGACATACACATATGTAGTCCATGGGTAACCGTAAGTAGAAATCCAATCCGAGATTATAAGTAATATTCATAAGCTATATTAAATACTTACTCTTAACTTTCTTTATTTTTTTAGAGATGCATCAATGAAAATAATCCGTCAAGTGTGGATCGAATGTTTAAGCCAATAACGACAACTCGATTCCAAGAACTTGATAAGATTATTTTCCCACTCCTAACTTCATTTCATTGGCATATGTTGGTGTTCTTTGTAAAGGAGAAGAGATTTTATCATTATTCTTCCCTCCGTGGTTATATGTCCGATGCTAATGAGTTTAGGGTGAAGCTTATTTCTACCATTCCCGATGCTTGGAACTTAGACATTACTTCGATTCAGGAGGTAGAAAGTGTTGATGTACCTCAACAACGGGGGTTAGTGTATTCGACTTATTCATATGTTCTTTTTTCGTTTGTGCTAACACTCACATAGAGACTACATATTGCGGGCCAAGAGTGTTATATTGATATTGCAAACTTTTGAACTTGCAGAAGCTTGGATTGCGGGGTGTTCTTGATGGCGTACATGTTTAGCCTCATATCCGGTCAACCAATTGCAATTGACCAAAAGGATTGTGCAAGACATAGAGCTCGTATTGTTGCTCTATTTCTATTTGAAGGTATATTTTCTATACGTGTAATGTTCATTGAAACGCTTATATCGAAATCTATTGTTCTTTTGATCCGCTTATATTTTGCTTTCAGGAAATCAACCAACATGATCCTCAAGACCAATTCCCCGGTTGCTACATGCCAATTGTGATATCCAATATTTTTTGTGTACAAATATATTTTGGGAATTGATTTGTAAAGTATTTGTATATATATATATATATATGCCAATGATGCAATCTTGTATATATTCCCCGGTTGTATACAGTTTTTTTGAAAATGCAAGTTTGGAAATGCAATCTTGTATATATAGCTTGTTTGGAAATGCAATCTTGTATATAGTTTGTCAATCTCCTTGATACGCAATGTTGTATATAGTTTGTCCGGATATGCATGCAACGTTTGTCAATCTCTTAAAAACTTTGTAAACTTGAATAGTCAATTCAAAATCATTGGCCAGAATGTTTTATGCACTGGGTTATTTATGACATCCCAAAATATCAGCAAGAACCCAAGTAAAAAGACCAACAAATGGGTCGACTCATAAAATTCACGAGTCGACTCATAAACCATGGGTCGACTCATAATATCATGGGTCGACTCAGCAGAAACAAAACACATATTCCAGCACACTTTGTGAGTCGACTTATGACAGTTATGAGTCGACTCAACCTGATGGGTCGACTCATGACTGTCATGAGTCGACTCAGCAGAAACAAAATGTAAACTACGCATCAATTTGTGAGTCGACTCAATACTGATCACGAGTCGACTCTTGTACACAGTTTTCATCTAAGAACCTGTTAAAAAAAATAAATTCTTAAAAAAGGTACAACTTTAGAAATAGTTGGTAAACATGATATCAAACATATTTGTGAAGAAATTTTGGAAAGTACATTTGACATTTGTAAAAGATCATCGTTTTAGCAAATAGATTAGAAAAACAAAGTAAACAAATAGGAGCTACGCTCCCCCTATCAGAAAAGAGGCATGAATGAGGATATTCTTATGGAACACAAACATGATAGAGCATATGATCATCATATAAGATATAGGCTCACCATCAAATGTGAAAACACATAAATTCAACAGAGCCAGACTTACTAGTCTATTACATACCAAGTTCAACACATGTTTTCAAACCATGTCCAACATGAAGCAAAACAAGTGCAAGTTAGAATATTACATGCCAAAATAAAAGTTTGCCAACTTATCATAAACCAAAATATCATTTTGTTCAACAGGAATTCAAGAAGAGCTTCAAGCGTTTGACGATCCTGGACCCGAGGAAGGATGGGGTTGCAAAAGGTTTATAACCTCATCAAATCTCGTGTGAATGGAGGCCATGTCAACTTCTCTTTCACTCCTCAGGGAGGCTATCTCTTTCTTTAGTTCTACTTGGGTCCTTTCAACCTCTTCAAGTCGCATGCTAAGATCATGTTCACTGTCTTCAATCCTCTGAAATCTCACTTGGTCACTATAGTGATATTCAGTCATCTGAGTGCAAAGATCTTCTATATGGCTTGGTACAGATGAATCTGGGGAGGAATGATAGTGCTCATAAGGAGGTTCATGAATGGGAGATTCAGGAGAGGGTCTACGAACAGGATGATCTTGCATTGCCATTAAGCTGGCAGGAATTCTCATCCGATTAAGAGCAGTAACATCAAAGAGAGGTCGGATTTCAAGAGGTGTCTCATCGTCGAGGTCAACATTGAAGTGTTTAAAGATTTTTGTAAGGAGACCGCCAAAAGGAATGAAAGTGGATGGACCAGAAGCAATGATATCGAATATAACATTTCCCCATTTAACATCAACATTACCCAGAATGGCATAGATTGCCCTAGTGAGATCTTGGGAATAGTGGCTATACCCCCCAGATTTTGGAATCAAGTTATAGGAAATGATACGTCCAACAATGGTAGCCAAATCAGATACATTTTTTGCATGTAATGGGAGGCTTTCGCCAGGAAGAGTCATAAGGGTTTCGACACTGGGATTATCATATGAAACATCATCAAGAAAGGTGTCGCCACGAGGAATGCCAATGATTTCAGCTAGACGGTTAGCTGTGAAACGAATATGGCGATGTTTGACACAAGAATTAATAAAATGTGGTCTATTCTCAGGACAAAATGTCACAAGATTTGCGTAAAATATACGCACAAGTGGGGGATAAAGTTTCTCGGAGTGCTTACTTGAGAGTAGATCGGTGAGTTTAGCAGCAGAGAAAAATTGTTCCAGAGAAAAATGACTGAAGTCATCGAATTTAACATATCTACCGGGGAACATTTTTAATTGACAAAGAGCATGATATTTTTCAATTAAAGCAGGGCTATTTAGATATTGTTCGTAATGGGCATTGCTTTGCTCTGGAGGAGACGATGCACGATCACGAGAAAGAGGGGCTTTACCTTTGGAAGTTCTAGGGCGTTTGCTAGAGGTACTAGCCATGGATTAAAATGAAACCCTAGAAAAAGAAATGAGAGAAGGAAGGGGTTATACCAAGCCGAGGAAGACTGAGTGCAGACGATGACTGCAAGAGAGGACGAGTCGACCGGTGATGATGAGTCGGCTGGAGATGAGGGTCGACTGTAGTGAAGGAACGGCTGGAGGAAAGAAAAGAAGGAAAGAGGATTAAAGAAGAAGATGAACTAGGGCTTTTGATATGGGATTAA